AGGCATTTGGTGAAAGGACAAGACAAGAAAAGTCACCACAAAACACGTTCTCCTTGAACTGGAGTGACCTCTTTAACAAAGGGATGTGTTGGTGGGAATGGATACATGTAAGGGTCACACATGGAGGGGCACACATGCATAGGGAGTCGATGTAGTCAGGTCCTGGGGGTGGAGCGACAGCTCCTGCCTCTGATGCCACGGGGCTGCTGCCATGTGCTAGGGGAGTCGGCATGGGCCTTTTCCCAACTGCTTTCCTCATCTCTGTAGATGTTGCTAAGCTAACCTCTGCTGACACCTGCCCCGCTGTGGTCTCTGGCGGCTGCCACATGGTTATCATCTGTAAATGTGCGCTGTTATTGTCTCTACCACCTCCAGCTTCTGGCTCAGCTGAAAGAAGTCTTTGGCTCCCTCCTCCCCGTGGAAGAGCCTCGTATGGCTGGAGGTCTCCTCTCTCTTGTCTTATCATCCGCCTTAACTGCCCTTCCTTATACTCTTTGAGGGTCTTGATTCCATCCCTTGGGGCCCAAAGCCCATCGCCTTTCCCCAGCTCGTTTGGGAGCCGGGAGAAAGCCACCCTCAGGTTCCCTCAGGCTTGTGGCGACCAAAGACTGGTCTCCCCAGCACTTCTTGCCCCGGGTGCTGGCCAGCAAAGAGCCAGCATCTTGCTGCCCAACCGAGGCCTTCAGTACAGTTTTCTCTTCCGATGTTTCCTTGAGGTCCAGGGGTGCAGATCCCCCTCCAGAGGTCTTGCCTTCAATTATAGGGAGCATTCCAGATGCCTCCTGTTTGTCTGTTGCTGAAGGCTCATCAGTAAGCCAGGGAATAGTTTGCTCAATAACTATAAAGAGGTCCAAGGTCTGAGCCTCTTCTGTTCTCTGATGTCAATGAGAGAATTCTGGTAAACCTGTACAGGAGACAAGTAGACAGGAGGTAAAGTCGTCATCTTCTGTGCCATCCAACCACATTCCAGGCCTTTCAACGAGATGACCAGCCCCAAGGCAGCCCCTGAAGTGCAGTGGGCAGGCTGAATCTGCCCTGCAGGGATCTGCCTGTGTTCGCTTTTGGCTGGACTGGGCCTGTGCAGAAGCAGAGATGGAGAAAATTCTCTGTGATTACAACTCTCAAGTGCAAATGCTTCCCTCATCCTTACTAGCTGAATGACCTTGGGCAAGTCACTTCTCTCTGTTCTCACCCTGTGTGGTACCTTAAAGGGCCTTTGCAGGACTAAACCAGTCATTCATACTGGCCTGGAGTGACTAAGTCTTCATTTGCTCATTTTAACCCTTGCAGAGACAGCTCTGCAGCTTTGTGTGAGAGTGGAAGCACACGGAGAGGAACCAGGGTCAGTGACAGAAGGACACTAGCGAGATGCTTCCACCCAATGGGGACAGCAGGCAACCGCTGACCCGTCTTCAGAACTGGAGCAGCCCTGGGCCCGTCCCTAACTTGGGACAGCCCCAATGCCTTCACACAGTGGAAGGCTACCCCAGGAGAGCTGGCAGGGGTCTTGGGATCACAGCAGGAAGGAGAAGGTGAAAGGGATCTGCCCGGGAAGGTTGCCAGAGCCTCCAGTGGGGTGATCTTCTGGCCTGGCTCCCATAGGGCTGCCCTGGCCCTGGGCACAGCATTGCCCCAGGCTCCCCTGACTGTGCATCAGGGCAGCTGGGAGATGCAGGTGTGGGCACCAGGGTTTATGAGGGGAAGCTGACTCTCCCCGATTGGTCAGCAAGCTGGGAGTTCGTAGCGTGGAAAGTGTAGACGATTCTAGGTGGAGAAGAAAAGGAAGCTGGCATGAGGCAGGACTGGGGCAGGGGTGGAGTGGGTCTAGAGGAGGACAAGCTCCCAAGCCAGAGGTTACTCAGACCCCCACAGTTTTCTCCCTTTGGGGAATTGTACCAGATGGCCTTCCCTATTCCTAGATGCCTCTAGGCACTTTTCCTGAATGGGGGATTTTGTTTTACCTGTCAAAGAGGCAGTTTTCCTATGATGCTGTCTGTGCAATGGGTGTGTGTGTGCTCTTGGCTCTAAGAAGGGGGCCTGGTCTCATCTCCCTTATGTTCCTCTGCACCTAGGTACTTAATAGTGGGGTTTTTTTTAAAATCAAATCAGATCTAGCTGGAAATAGATGCAATTGATTGGTGGGAATGGTTGTAACTCAAGTGACGCGCACCCCCCACCCCCCCTGTGATTTGGGAAAATCTGTCCATGGCTGGTGTCCGGGGGATGATGTCACTTAAAATCTAGGCTTGGGGCCAGTAGGTAGGGTCACTCTAGGCTTATCCCAGCTCAGTAGCACCTCAAACATGAACCGTGCCCGGGTGGGATTGGAGATTCCCAAGAAGCCATGCTAGATGGAAATACACTGGTCTCCTTATCACACCTGAAGCCCCCCTTTCCTGTGCTCTCTCCTTCCCCTGAAACCAGGATGAGAAGCATCTTGAATAGAGCGCTGGAGTCGGGAAGACCCGAGTCTTCCTCAGACACTTACTAGCTGTGTGACCCTGGGCAAGTCATTTAACTTCTGTGTGCCTTGGTTTCCTCATCTGTAAAATAGAGATACTAATAGCACCTCGCTCCCAGAGTTGTTGTGAGGAGCAAAGGAGGTCACATTTGTAAAGTGGCCTGGCATATAGTAAGTGCTACATAAAAGTTAGCTATCATCATCATCATCATTATTACGAGGCAGATGGCCTAAGCTGTCCTTGCCCTGGGCGACTATGTGAGCTTGAGTTCATCAAAACAGGAAATCGGCCGTGTTCTTTCCTTCTTTCCCATGACCTCTTTCCCGCCTCCAGATGTCAGGGATGGTGACACGGTGTGAGTGGGTAGTGAGCTTTCCGGCGCAGCAGGCTTTCAGAGGGAGTGTGCCCCTCCCTGGCTGTCTCCTGGGCCTCCCTTCTGTGAGATAAAATCAAAGGGAAAAGACGTTCAGGCTTCTGGGGGACTGCTCTGACCAGAGCCTTGGGTCCAGTTGAATGCAGCAAACATTCATTAGCACCTACTGCATGCCAACCAGGCGCTGGGTCAGGCCTTGGGGCTACAAAGACTCAAAGGGAACTTTGTCCTGGTATCCCCAGGCCTGGCCCAGAGTAAGTGTTTCTCTGTGGGTCTTTGGGAGACATGAAACCCCCTCTTGTCTCCTCCTGTGCTAGGTTGTACTCACCCACTCAAGTCTTTTGTTGTGATGGGCATTGCCTTGGTCCAAGACCCACAGTCCACCCAATCTGTATCCAGACTTCCTGGCCTCTGCAGCCTGCGCATTGGGGGTTGGGTTTGATCCCGTTCATGTTGCCTTGTGTCCTGCTGATTTTGTGTTTCCATAGCCCCTTTTGAGACTTCTTACAAGGGCCCTGTTTTCAGGGGTCCGGCATAACTGGTGGATCGATTCCTAGGATCAACAGCCACTTCTCTTCCCATCCCATTTCTCCCATAGCCTTAATGATCCTGGTCAGTGTTCCAGATCCCCTTCTTCCTTTAAGACCCAAGCCTTTCCTGATTCCCCCCTCCCTCCCAGGCTCTCCTCCTATCTGTTTAGTATAGATTCACACCTGTGCTTGCTTCCCTTGGTAGGATGAGTGAGGCTTAGGAGCAGGGATGGTTTCATTGTACCCTGACCCTGCTGCCTAGTACATAGTAGGTGTTTAATATGTGTTTGTTGATTGCTTGCTATAGTGCCCCCTTGACAGCCTTCAGGGCCCTCTTTGTCTCCTCCTGACCCTGGGCTGACTTTTAACAGGTTTGTTAAAACTCAGTTTTGTTGCCTCAATCACTGTAACATTGCCCTCCCCCTGTCATTGTCCCAGTTCAGGCCAACAGCACCTCTTAACAGACTATTTCAATATCCTAATGGCTCTCCCGGCCTGTAGTCTTGCCCCTCTCCAGTCTATTGAGCCCACGACTGCCAAGATAAGCTTCCTAAAGAAAGCATCAGACCACGTCACTCCCCTGCTTTAGGAGTCCCAGTGACTCCCTCAAACCTTGACCTGGTCCTCTTCACTACAGCTCCAACCCGCTTCCCAGGCTTGCTTCACAAACTGCCAAGCTGACCTATTTCCCCCAGACTCAGTGTCCCATCTTCTCCTCCTTTTGTGCCTCAGCCCAGGCTGTCCCTCGTGCCTAGAATGTTCTCTGTCCTTGTCTCCCCCTCTTAGAGTCCCTCATTTCCATCAGGGTTTACCTGATCTCGCCTCCTCCAGAAAGAAGACTTTTTGTTTTTGTTTTTGTTTTTGACAAGGCAATTGGGGTTAAGTGACTTGCCCAGGGTCACACAGCTAGTTAAATATCAATTGTTTGGTATGAGGCTGGATACGAACTCGGGTCCTTCTGACTCCATTGCTCTCTATCCACTGTACCACCTTGCTGCCCCTGGGAAGCCTTCTGTGATCTTGAACTGAAATATTTGAGGGTCTCCCACATGGGGGAAGGAAGAGGCTTGTTCTCTTGGTCACCATAGGACAGAGCCAGGAGCAGTGGGCCACACTGCAGAGAGACTGACTGGGGCTGGTGCTTTGCAGAGCTGTCCAGCGTGGAAGGGGCTGCCCTCTTGGTTGGGCACTCATCTGGTGGATTCAGACTGGAAAGCCTTTGGGCGCAGGTTCTGTGAAAGGGTCAGAGCTGAAGCTCAGACCTCCACTGGCTCCCTCAGGATGCTGGTCCTCGTCCCACACCTCCTCGCTTACCGGCTTCCGTCAGTTCCTTGCTCGTGGTTTCTCCCTTGAACCAGGGGCTTCCCTGGCATTGAGAAGAGACCAGGGTAGTGCTTCTTTCTTTCCTCCATTTCACTGGGTGATGTGATTAGGTGGGTTGTTCTGAAGTGAGAGAAATCATATCTGTTGCCTGGAACCCACTGGGTGAGGTCAAAGCGGTGTTTCTGACTTGACCTTTAGATTCTTGGTGTGATGGAGACACAACCTCGGGGTTTCTGGGTCCTGATTCTAGGGCTTCTGGCAGCTAAAGGGCATCTTTCTGAGGCACTTCCTAAACTCTCTTTTCTTTTTTAGTTGAAAAAGGTAAACAGAGGCACCCTCAGACACCGTGCAGCCATCCCCAGTCTTCTCCAGATGCTCTCTCTACTGAAAAAGCCCTGGGCTTGGCCTCCTATAGAGCAAAATGTGACCAGCAAGGCAAGGTCATCCTGCACCTGGAGCAGCTCCTTGCGGGAGGGAACCGCAAGTTGGAGGCGCTAGCTGTGGTGGTCCAGCACCTGCTGTCCGAGGTAGGATGCCGCGTGCACAGCTGTGGGTGGGGGTGCTGGGGGAAGATTCCTGCGCCAGCACCAGTGGACTCCTCCTCCTCCTCTGAGATTTGGGGCTTCTGCGCAGGATGATGTCCTCCGTCAGTGCCTTGGCTGAGAAGGCTCTGACTCTGAAAGTCAGAAATGGCAGGATTTGTCATGCACGTCCCCCGTTTCCCCCCCCCCCGCCTTCTCTTGGTATCAAACCTGTGCAGGCGGAGGGAGACCTTGTTCCTGTCTTTGGCACAGCCTGCTGGCGTTAAAGGTCTCTACTGCTGTTTAAAGAATGTTGGTATTGCAGAGGTTCTGGGATCTGCTAGGGCCGGGCCATACAGAATTGTCCACCCTGCTTATGCTGGCCTCTTCTTGGCCCTGACCTTCCATAAATCATTCACAGGCAGTCTCCCTGGTGTATAAAGGTCTTACTCTGGGCTAGATGCTGGAAAAATCAAAGTATTTTTCCATGGCTGTGTCTCTCATCATAAAGAGATGCTGCAACCTTAGAAGCAAATTCTTTGGCAGAAACCAGTGGAAGATTGTGCTGTGTCAGAGAATCGGCATCATTCCTGAGATCTGCCATCTGTTGGCATTTCCACATCAGACCCAGCAGAGTTGGTGGGGCCACGTCTTTGGGGGGTGTGGTTGTGCTGGGCCTTCCTAGGGGAGGGCCCATCCTCCTCAGAAAGTCTTATGGTTCAATGAGCTCTGATTAAGCTGTGTTGAGGAAAGCAATGTTTCCTCTGCACCTTTGCTGCTGATGGGGCACAGAAGTGTTAGCTGACTTTGGAGGAGATCGGCAGGATATAGGGATCTTTATGGGGATATTTTTCTCATCCCAGAGATAAAGGCTACATGTGGTCCCAACCTGGGCATGAAAATCTTGTTTCCTTCAGTATTTGGCTGTGTCTTTCAGACAGTGCACATCATGGGATGAGGATTTCTGCTTAGAAGAGCAGAAAGATTGTGGCCTCTCAAGACAGCTTTGGAATGTCTTTAAAAATGTATCATTCAAGGTTAATGAGGCCAGACTCCTCCACCCCCCCCCTTTCCACCCCATTGGAACAAATTAAAATGTCTTCTCTTCCTTATTGATTTTTTGGAATAAATGAAATGGGCAGCCTGCTGAGAAATACTGGGACTGTGGGACTGTTGATTGAGAATTGTGAAGGGACCTTAGAAAGCCCAACCTTCTCATCTTGGAGGACACTGAGTCTGACACAGGTAGGGCTGATCATGGGCTCAGAGCTTTAGAGCCAGAGGGGGTCTTTGGGGCCAGGGTGTCCAGGCCTTTCATTTAACAGAGGGAGGAGCTGAGGCTCAAAGAGATTGTTCAGGGTCAGAGATTGTCTGAAGCAGGTCTGAACACTGGTCTTCTTGATGCCAAGCCCCCCCAGGCCTTTCAGAGGAAAGGCAGTCAGTGAGCTGGTGCACAGAAGCACCTGCTTTGGGTCCAGCATGTGCTAAGCTGGCAGATGGGTAGGCTCGCATGGACTGCAACGCTACATGGGAAGAGAGTCCCAGAAGGGTGGGTGGTGCTCACAAATGAAATTCTGAAGACCTGAAGGGAGATGTTCCCAATGAGGAAGAAAATCAGAGTCCAGTGAGTCTGCACAGGGACTGGCTAACTAACTTAGATCTTCCAGATGATGGATATGGGGTGGATAATGGAGAATAAACAGGAGAGAGAGGTCCTGTAAAAATGGCACTGGGAAGACTAAAGCTCAGATTGAGTTGAGGCTGACATAGGAAACTGATGGCAGCAGAAAATGTACGAGTGTGTGTTTTAGCTACCTTAAACATGAATGGAAAAATCTTCATTAAGGGCTTACTATGTGCCTAGCACTGTGCTAAGTGCTAAGAATACAAATAAAAGAGTGGAGGCAGCCCCTGCTCTAGAGGAGCTCAGACTTGGATTGGGAGAGTCGACAGGTGGAGGAAGGCTCACCTGTGAGGCAGGTGCAGAGGTCCCGGAGGCCCTGAGGCGCTGTAAGAGGGTCAGATAATGGTGCTAGGGCCATACAGGGGGCAGATGATAAGGCCTCCATCTCTCCTGAAGGAAAGGAGCTGTTGACTGCCATATTGACCAAGCTTGGTGTTGTGGGCTGAGAGGTTGAGAGGTTGTGACCCCTCAAAGACTGAATTACAGGATGGGTCTTCTGGAATGAATTCACTGACTCAAGCATTCTTTAAGCCAAGGTGGCAAAGTTTATTATTACACTTTTCAGCAGGCAAGGATTCTTAAGGATCCTGCAACCTTAGAGAGGTACAGTTAAAGTTTATATAGGATAAAATATAATAAGAAATGTGCCAAATATGCTAACTAGGGGATTCAGGGTGGACTTAGGGAGTGGTTAAGGAGTGGTCAGTTCTTAAAAGAACATGCACTTCTTGTACCTACTGCGCAGGCATTTTACCCAGAGTTCACTGGGAAAAGGCCACAAGGGGGGCCACACGGAGGTGTGGTTTTAGGCCTGCTATGTCACTAAGTCAACCAGAGTTCAGGTTAACTGAGAGTTGTTCAGTCTGCCACCAGTCCATGTCTTGTTAGACAAGATAGATGTAGGGAGTATACATATGTCTTAAGTCTAGAATACAGTTAATGAGGAGCCCAGGATGTAGATAATGAGGTAGGGCGGAAGGATAGTATAGTAGTGGGTAAGAATGTCTTTATGACCCAGTGCAAAGCCAGTTTAAACTAACGAATCCTTCAGGTGCTGTTTGGAACTGCACCAGGGAGAGAGATAAGGGTCTCGCTGGGGCCCACTCATGAGTAATTGCTAAGCACAGGGTCCTTGGGCTGGGGAGAAACTGTCAGGGACAGTGGTTTCTGAGGCTAGGGAGAAATTGGGGTCCAAGCATAAGCACCCAAGCACCACATCATTGGGAGTAGCTAAGGGGGAAGATGAGGCTGGGCAGGAGGGAGTGCCCTTCAGGGCTGCTGAGCCTCCCTGATGCTCCCTGGGATGGCTTCTAGCTCAGCCTGGAGCCAGGGGAGAGGGTGAAGGGGGCAGTGATAACTGGCCTGGAAGAGAAAGTACAGCTGCTCTGCCTTGTTTGTCTTCTCAGCCAAGGAGAATGACTTTTGTCCTGGAGAGGACTGGACAGGAGCTGCCACCCAAGATAAATAGTGAGAAAGTCCCAGAGCACTGGGGCCCTGGGAGGGTTAGAAATTCTAAACCTGCAGAACCTCTCCCTTCCTCCTCCATCCCTCTGGGCCAGGATACTACCACTTGGAAGATGCCCCAGAGGCTGGGCGAGGTCGGGGCTAATGAATTAAAACTGGGCCAACAGTTCATGATGGCCTCCAACTTGAACCTGTGATCCCTTTGGGGAAGGGTGGGGAGGGGAGTTAGGCTGATGTCTGGGAAACTCAGGAACCCAATTCGTGTGAGGCCCTTCTTCCTGCAAGCCTAGGCCAAGGACAGACACCTTCTCTTTACAGAGATGTCCAATGGAATTTTCTCAAAGAGCCGATCAATTCTTGCATCCCTAGTGAAGGTTACCTACTCTTTGTCCATTTTGTACATTCCTATAGAGATACTGAGCATCTCCCCCGTTAGAGCGTAAGCTTCTTGAGGACAAGGGAGTGTTACAGTTTGATCTTTGTATCTCCAGAGCCCATCACAGTGCCTGGTAAACAGGAAATGCTTATTGATTGAATAATTGGGCCATGTAGGAGATAGAGAGCCTTGGAGGCTCTTGGAGGAAACCAGAAAGATAGAGGAGAAAAGTGAGTGAGGGTTGACCCTTCTTACCTTCCCCAAAGCCCCTCCAAGGGCAGTGTAACCACACCCTTGCCCAGCCTTAGTGGCCTCTATCTGAGAGGCCAAAAGCTTGATGGGCCTGGGGGCCCCTGGGAATCTCTGGCTCATCTTCCATAGAGGTCCCCCATACCTGCGATGAGCTCCCTCCTTCCTTCCACCTTCTGGTTTCACTGGCTTCGCTCAAATCTCGGCCCTAGACTCCAGTGCCTTTCCTCTGTGCTCTTTATGATGCGTCTTTCTTGTTTGTTCATTGTTGTGGGCATGTTGTCTCCCCATTAAACTGCTTTTGCCTTTCTCTGCATCCCCAGAACTTAGCCCGGTGCCTGGCACATAGGAGTTACTTAATGAATGCTTGTTGACAGACTGTGGTTGTATCTCGTAGCTAGAGATCCCCAGCTGTAGGGCATGAGAATGATGCCATGCTTGCTGAATCTGGGCACTTCCTCTGGACTGATGGGCTGCTGGACTTCCTTTGTGTTTTGGGTTGTTAAGCAGAGGGCTGCCTTGTCTGGACAGGCAGGCAATGTGCCAATCGAAGAGCCAGAGGCATCCTAATTAAAATCAAAGTTTTCGTGGCGTGCAGGATTATCCTGATGTGAGTCGACCCTTTATCAGCCCTCAACCCTATGCTGACCGCTTTACCTGACCCTGGATGACTTGCCTGTCTTGGCAAGAGGAGAGTGGTCTTCACATGCTAGAGCATCTCTAGGAGTGGGGAGACGGAATGTGTAATGGGAACGAGCCTCTCTCTGAGCATCTGCTGGGATGACTCTTGGGGGCACCCTGAGGAACAGAAAGAGTCCAAGTTATCGACAAGAGGTTCTGGCAGCTGGCGGAGCCCTGTCGTGTGCCCCGCTGACTCTCCTGTGCTTTCCCTGCCATCATGTGTCGCCACAGCCCCTGTGCTACGGGACAGCTCCCAGTCAACTGGCTTATTGATGCTCTGCCTGCAGACAGCGTGTCTCTTGTGCAGGCCTCCTAATTAAATTATGACTCCTCCTGCCCCCTGGAGCAGCTCATTGTCTCCTTAATGCGGGAGGCTAAGGATGCACAAGGCCAAAGCAGGAGCATTTTCTAGGGTCTCTGCCGCTGCAAGGGCCTCAGCTCCTCACTGTACACAGAGCCTCCTGTGTGGGTGCAGCCACGTAAGCTGGGGCCACCAAGGGCTTTGAAAATCCAAACCTTTGGGCAAAGAGGAAAAGAAAGTGGAGTCGGTGG